TTTTTTTTTTTTTTTTTTTTAACATCTTTATTGGTCCTGATGCTGGGATTTGAACATCCTAAATCTCATTTGGTGAACAACGAAGTTCTAGGTCTCTGGCTTTGCCACCATTTCCCTACCAAGTCCCAGGAGTGGCTTAGACCTTCCCAGGAAGCCTTAGGATCTTGAGATTGGTCCCCAAGTAACTGGAAATGGCTTGCCCAGAATCAGATGCCCCTAAATTCTCTTTTGAGTCTGTTCCCTTTTTGAATGATGCTATCAATAATGAGCCATGTTTAGCATTTCTGTTTTGATGTACCATCATATATGTGTAACTATTAAACAAAAACTTTCTTAAAATGTTTGTATGTTGAAGGAGAGCCTTATAAGATCATCTGCTGTCTTGTCAAATCATGATAAGAGAGAAGGGTTTGTAAATACCAGCTGCTAGGGGTATATGGTGGCCCTCTCCTTTCCACTCAGCTCTCTAATCATGTTGTCACTATATTTGAGAACTCCTGTAAGTTCTTTTTTATCTATCCTGGCATATGGTACATTCCTTTGTAGGCTAGCCTGGCCCTGTGCCCTTCCTCTCTAAGCCACATCACCTCTCCAGTCAAGCTCACTGAGCAATCCATTCCCAGATATTTCATGTGCGTTCACTTTCCCATGCCTTGACACTTGGCTTTGCCTTTGTTTGGGAGGTTTCTATTAGTTCTTCAAGACCAAGATCAGGTTTCATCTCTGAGGGCCATGCTGGAATTCCCCCAGACAGGCACTTCCACTCAGGACTCTCTCATGCTGCAATTCACTCTTGCCTTTATGATAGCTGTTAATCACAGACTATCGAGAGGACTTATTTATGTGTCTGTCTTTCCCACTGGAAGGTCGGGGATTTGCTTGTAATGGCGGGTGTTTGCTCAGCACCGAGCATCTTTCCTGGTTCTGAGCAGGCGTCTCATTAACCATGAGTGGTTGAATATCAGAGAAAGGACGTAGAGATCGTCTAATCCTCTGCTTTTACAGAACTGAAGTTCAAAGAGGGGAAACAATTTGGCCAGGGCCACACTGCTTGAGGTCACCTCCAGAACCTTTACTTGGCTCTGCCTTTGGGGAGATCAGTGTCAGCCTCTTTCTCTTTTTTTAAAAATTTATTTTATTTATTTATTTTTGGCTGTGTTGGGTCTTCATTGCTGTGTGCGGGCTTTCTCTAGTTGCAGCAAGCAGGGGCTACTCTTCGTTGAGGTGCGGAGGCTTCTCATTGCGGTGGCTTCTCTTGTTGTGGAGCATGGGCTCTAGGCTTATGGGCTTCAGTAG